CCTACATAAACCTTCCAGATAAAAGTAACAAATGGAATCTTTCTCTTTCACTAGATTTATTTCTTTTTCTTGTGATTTCTTACAAAATATTTTTTTCCACTTACATACAGATTGTCACAAATTAGACAAATGGCTTTTAATTTTTTAGATTTTTTAAAGTGTAAACCAAGTAACAATGGAAGAAAACTTGATATTTTGATTTTATTGCTGAACGAATTTATTGCACTTTTATGCACTGTCTCTGGCTAACTCTGTGCTAATGTTTAACAGCACAGTTCACTAGTTAACATTGATTGTTTTGGTTCCACACAGGAAAGCATCTTGTTTTTTCTGTTGTCAAAAGGGAGCACTCTGCTTTTCCAGCCTGACAGCTAAGCATCAAATAAATCATGATGTTGTTCCTAGATTAACACTAGCTCATTTCTTTCACCAGCATTTGCTTACCTAGGAGTAGGATGAGGAAAATCACTCTGACTTGTAATATCTAAAATGATTCTGTTTATTTTTAGAAATACATGCAAGAGGCAAGGAGTTTAGGAAAAAATTTAAGGCAGCCCAAACTCTCAGACCTCTCTCCAGCTGTGATTGCTCAAACCAACTGGAAATTTGTGGAAGGGTTACTGAAGGAATGTCGCATGAAGGTGAGGTTCACCCCCTTCCTGCTGCCTGCTATCCCTTTGCTTACACTGAGCCTAAATAGTATCTGTAGATGGTGTTCTGAAAGCCCTTCACAGCTGGAATGTTGTGAGTGAGTTGGAGTACCAGGCTATGGCAGGGTGGATGTCCCTTTGGGGTGTTATCTTTTATAGGGAAAAAGGAACATATTATCATTCTTCTGTTTATGCAGTCAAAGTTGGTGAAATGAGTAAAAAATACAGGAAGGAGAATCAGCATGATCAGACATCTTAGGGAGGATTTCCTTTAATTGTTCATAGGTAAATGGAACCTAAACATAATGGGCACAAGACCCTTAGTCAGAAAAGGGAGCATTCAGCACATGCAACTGTTGTGTGTGTTGTTTATGCAGAACAAGTAAAGTACAGCAGCTTCTAATGTTGAAGAAGCTTTTATAGGCACCAGGTGTTGGTTGCAGCCAACGGGTTGGTCGTATACTGTTATTACTGGAGTTTTAAACTTGAATAGCTGTAACAAGAAGAAAAACAATTACTAAGACTGGAAATGTATCTATCTCTGTACTCTGCTTTTGATACCAGTTGGTAACATTATTACTGGAGTTATTACTGGAGTTTTAAACTTGAATAGCTGTAACAAGAAGAAAAACAATTACTAAGACTGGAAATGTATCTATCTCTGTACTCTGCTTTTGATACCAGTTGGTAACAGATCAACCCTGTAGAAATATCACAATTGAAAAAAACTATAGAAATAGGACAATATGGAGTAATTATGCAAACTTTCTTTTTTTTAATTATTCTTTTTAATTTACTATCTCTGTAAAGAGATTTGAGGTTTCTCTGGTCAGGCCTCTAGATTAAGCATACTTACGTAAACTCATCTATAAATTCTGTCCCTGATTGGATAACATTCTTAGAAACCTTTGGGAATTTTTATTTTTATTTTTTAATAGACTAAACGCATGTTGGTAGAGAAGATGGGCCATGAAGCAGTTGAGCTGGGTCATGGAGAAGCCAACATAACAGGTTTGGAGGAAAATACATTGATTGCTAGCCTCTGTGATCTGCTAGAAAGAATCTGGAGCCATGGTCTGCAGGTCAAGCAGGTTGGTAACTGGAAACTCAGGACTTTGTGTGTGCAGTAGTCTAGCAAACACTGAATGCCATCTCTACCTTTTAAGCTGCTGCTTGGTGGTGCCATTCCAGCTTAAACTAGGAGTCATCTTTGGGTTCAGAGTCCCTGGTTCATATTTTGTGAGGGCTTGAGGAGTTCTGGGTGTTTTGTTTTTATTTGAGAGGTACCTCTTGAAATTGCAATGATGTTGTCAAGTAGGTGTTTTCTTCCCTTTCAACCTTCAGAAGGGAAAGCCAGGGAGAGGACAAAGAAACAAAGCGGGTGGTGTGACTGCCAGATCAGAGAGATGGTCCTCTCCTCTTCCTGAGATCTCATGGCCCAAGAGAGAAGGACTGATTCTCACTGCTGACTGTTTGGTCCATCAAAATGCCATCCTACTATTTTGCAGTGTTCAGTGGCCTCTTTTCTTTTGTCTGATTTATTCAAAGCTATGTAATACATATTCAATTTTCAGGGGAAATCTGCTTTGTGGTCCCATTTACTTCAGTACCAGGAAAGAGAAGAGAAGCAAGAGCATAATGCAGAATCCCCAGGTGAGTACTTGGCAGTTGACTCCATGAAGGGTCCATCACAGTGAATAAACTTGGGCCTGGGAGGAACAGTGCAGCCACACAAAACCCATGCAATGTTTTCAGTGTATTTGCTTGCTTATAACATGTTTACATTTTGAGACCTTTCATAATCACCATGAAGATGCCTTCATGTCTGGACTAAATAGATTAACACCATTGGAGGCAAATTAACATACTTCTTATTGCTGTCTGAAAAATCACTCAATTTCAGTTCACTACCTTCACTCCCTTTTCACCACCCCGAGTGTTTCCACAGGAGGTGATTTCTCAAGGAGCTGAAGGTGTGTCTAAGACAGCTGACGTTTTTCTTTCAGTGAGCATAATCTGTCTCTCAAATCACAATGTGAATAACTCCATGTTCAATAAATATGCTGGCAGACAGTACAGTTCAGAAGTTGTGTAATCATTACATTACTTCTGTGTTGTGAGAGAGGTTGAGCTTCTTATGACTTTTAGATCTCCCTGCCCACAGGCTGCTGCTTGCTAGATTTTGTTGTAAAAGTCTCTGAACTTTAGTGGGACATCTTCCAAAGACTCTCCAATCCTCCAGATCCTGCAGATGCGAATTTGTATGATCGATCCTCAAAGACGTTTCTATGGACAAACTAGTCTTGCTCATGAAAAGACTTTTTAATAAGTTCCAATGAGTAATGCACTAAGCAATCTGGCTGGCAGGCACAAATTCCTGAGAGCAAAATGTGACACCACAAAGCAGTTTGATCAGAGTAAGGGAGCACAGAAATGCATGGCATTCTTACCATTGAATGTGCTACTGTAGCTTAGTTTTATCCCATCCTCCTTAGCTGTTTTCCATAAAAACATTTTACTAATAGATCTCATCACCGTACAGTTTTATGTTAGTAGATTTCACATACAAAAAAGGAAACTGTTCAATCTCCCAGTTCAGTGCTGCATTAAGGAAGAAGTAACATTTTAAGCATTTTTCATTTTGTCCACTCCTACATTTCCAGGATAGAGTTAATGATAAAGCACAGAAACATTGTAGTCGTGAGGCACTTCAGATTTTTTTCAGCTGTATGTAAAACAAATGCATTGCAGACCTTTGCTGTAATTTTGTAATAACTTCATATATTTCCTCTGTTGCAGTTGCTGTTGGAACAGAAAGACGAAAGTCTGATACAGGAATTAGTCTGCCTACTCTGAGGGTTTCCCTGATACAAGATATGAGGTACACAGTTTCCTAAAGCATTAATTGTAGTTTTAATTGTGTAGCATAAGGTAAAAGATAACTCACTGGCTGGCTGTTCACAAAGGCTAATGAGAATTAAACCTTCTCCTTAGCCCACATCCAAATCTACAAAATGTTGCCTTTTTATTTTACAAAAAACTTTTTTGCATGTTTACTTGCTTTATTTTAGCTAAACGACAATTAAAAATCAGAATTTTTACGGGGGTTTTTGTTTTCTTCAGGAGGTTCTTCTACCAGTAATAATGCTAGAACATCTACCAACAACAGCAGATATGTGGAATTCCTTGCTACTTTGAGCTTGTTTCTTTCTGTTTGCTTTAAATCACTGACCAAGCAAGTAAAGTTAATAGGCAAAGCAAAGGATTAGAAAAACCTGCTTGCAATGCCTGAGCAATGCTTTTTCTTTTCAGTTAGCTTCTTATGACAAATAGTAATAAATGTACAAATTTAGAAATGCAATCAAGCCTAGTATTTGGGTAAGTTTAAAGTCAGAAGTAAGGGCAGGTGCTCTGTAGGAAATCACAGCTATCTCTCTGGAGAGCTTTTAGGAAGTGTTGGTTGGCAACTGAAAGGATTAGAAAGCAATTAAGAAGAGGTGGAGAGTGATGTGACAGCATCAGGCAGTTTTTTCTTCAGGACATCTCCTTGACCAAGCCATGTGAGGTCAAGACACTGTTTTAACACTACACTTGCCATGGCTAAGCATTGCAGTGGGGTAAAAGTGCCATGAAAGAGAGGAGGAGCAATGCAATAATGCTTTTCTGTAGAGAGCTACTATCAATTGCTAGCAATTTAATGTGTGAGGCAAAATGATGAGTATTCCTTCTTGTGATACCCTATCTTCTTCCACATAAAAATATGGCAAAAAATCTCATGGCAAAAAATGAGATTATTTGTAGTCAGTTCACAAAAACATGATTACAGTGATCTGATTTTTACCATGTGCATTGTTATAGATTTATTTTTTTTTATGTGACATCCCACAGATTAGTCAGATGTTTCTGAAAGAAAATGACTGTACTTCCCACCTGCAGTGTGCAACCTTTGTGCTTGACTTAATGTAGTTTTAGTCTTGTACTCTGATTTTGAGGAATGTCACATGGCACATAAGGCTAAAACAACATGTGAAGGAGGGAGGGAGACTATACACTGGGTAATGCCAAGAGGTCATTTTGAATATGTGTCCATAATTTTAGAATCCCTTTTGTGGGATGAGGCAACTATTTACTTAATTCAGTCCTGTGAGGCTGATGGGCAGGTAGAGGGTCAGTCTGGGGAAAAGGATAAAGGAGGATCTGGATGGGGATTGGTGACAGAGGAGGCCATGTGTGTTTGCTGCTGCGTGTGTTTCATCTTCCATGTACTTCCAGTGGGAAAGCCCAGCACAGATCTGAGCAGAGATCTCTTGCTTGAATCACAAGAGTAATTCCACTGCTTTAGAGAGGAAAAGTACAGAAGCAGAAGGCTACCTTTTGTACTATGTTGGGTATTCATGATTGTCCACACAAGTCTGGTCATAGAAAATCCTGGAGAGTTGAATTTGTCATCCCTAATCTCATGGCATACTTTCTCCTGCTTGGGAGGAATGCTGCCTAGTATTGGTTTGCACACACAGATTTATGCTGAAGTTAGAAGGACAGGCTAGGGCTGCAGTGCTAACTGAACTAATGGCTAGAGGATTAAGCATTGCCTTAAGTACAGCTTGTTTTTGATGGCTCATGCAAGGTTATGTAAACAACTTAAAAAGCAGGGCTGAATCACAGTCACGCTCGGAATGAGCAATGAGCCTGTGCTGCAGGTAATGTGGTGTGTCCTCTGCCTCCCTCGCAAAGCCAGGCACCTTACATGTGGTAAGAAAGATGCTCAAGATGTTTATTTTGGTTTGGAGAGTCTCTGCACAAGTGTGTTTGGGATATGCCCTTCAGCTTTTCCCCCAGGTGAGGATCTGCAGCATCTCTCCCACCCCTCTCCCAGCTCCGCAGCAGACTCCTGCTGCAGCCTGCCTCCAGCATGACCTCCCACTTCAGGCACATCACTGCATGTCCAGCCAAACTAGTTAGCACCAAGGCAGCTCCCTGAAACCTTTGGTCCAGTTGGGTTCAGGTGTCAGGTCCTTCCCCTTTGGGCAAGCCGTTCCTTTTTGCCAGCACTTGCTTTCATGCCCCATCATGCCTCCCCTCCCCAGGTGCTGGGCACACAGCAGTGATCCTTAACTTGCTGCAGTCTGAAGAACCTGGGTTAGCAAGGACCTGCTACCCGTGTGGGATGAGCTAGTACAGCTCGTTTCTGACCACACTGGCATCAGGAGCAAGCACACCATCCTCAGGGGCATGGCAATACTGAGCAGCTGTAACCTCTTCTGTCAGAACAGCTATTTGCAGAGGGGATGTCTCACGTACATTTGACAGGGAAAACAGATTTTTCTTTATTACTAACGGGATTAAAAGCAAGTCCCAACCCAGGGAGCTGCACTGAAATCGCTGTTCAGTGCCCTGATAAGAAGAGTTTGCTGTGTGGTGATGAGCATACAGTGCTTATGCTTAGGTCACTGATAAAAATAGAGCTGTTCTGACTCTCACAGCTGAAAGTGAAATAAATTTGAGTTCCTCAATGCTCTGTTCTGTTACACTCTGCTTTTGCTGATGCTAAGACTGATTACTGAATCTTCTTAATGTTTCTGGTGAGCTGCGTGGCTGCAGATGCTTATTTTTCCCAAATGTACAATTACTGCCCATCTAGTCTGAACCAGAAGCAGGTAATGAAGAGGTAAAGAGTGTGCATGGAATAAGGTTGAGTCCATCTGTACTTGAATCTTCTCACAGTAAGAGAACATATTCTACTTAGTGTTTTGTATTAGGTGTAATTCAAGTCGAGCACTGGGGGGAGGGAGGCAGAGGGAGGGAGATGATAGTCTGTGCTTTGATCTTCCCGTCTCAAAAGACTTGAAATGTCTGAGGAGAGTCTCAACACGATGTAGTTGAGTGTAGTGCACCTCCTGTTTCCCAAGGACTCTGGATTGCATGCCCAGCTGTCTGGACTTGGAAAGTCTAAAACTGTCACACCCTGGGCCAGGAAGGGTTTCCAGTGCCAGGAGCACTGATTCAGCTGGTGGGCATCACTGCTGGCAGAGGGAGGCTGCTGAGCATGCTTATAAAGAGCAAGAGCTTGTATGTGAGTCTAATGTGCCCTCCTGGGTTTGATTTACAGCTCACTGATAGTTAGTGCTTCTCACCTGGTCCATCAGAGAACAATCTGTGTGTCACATTAGGGAACGGGAGGGAAGTTTCTTTTAATTTTTTTTCTTTCCTCTTTTTTTTGTTTGTTTTTTTTTTTTGTTTGTTTTTGTGTTTTTTTTTGTAAGGGGGTTTTGAAGCAGCTTGCTTTTGCCACTGGCAAGCTACCATTGCTCCCATTGATTTTAATTTTTTTTCTTCTTGATGGCGCTTCATATATGTCTGTACAGCACAGAGCTATGTGATACAGACCCCTAAGCTTGGGTTGCAAAGACAGACCTGTATTTTGAGTATGTGTGTAGATCAGCCTGGTGAAGAATGGTGCTGCTGAGCTATGTCTGGTATCTACTTCATTTGTGCAAAGAAGACATGTATTTCTAGGCAGCACGAAGTTATACTTTGTAAATTTACTCTTAGGTCACTAGTCCTGTTATGTTAGAAGCTCTATAAAGAAGAAAGTATTTTTCTGAAATAATGCAGGGTCTAAATATAACACAAAGCTCCCACTTGGGTGTAACAGATGGGGGAAAGCATGAGACAGTGAGACTATACTAGTCAACATAAAAGCATCAGTCACAGCGTGACTTTGTTGGATTTTCCTTGGAGTAAATATTGCCACATTCCCTAATGCTGGGAAATGCACGCAGGGCCTTTGAGGAAGATGTGGGAGTTGGAAAGTTGCAACAAAGATGAGTTCAGACTCAGCTGATGGTCCTTGGAACCTGCCACAGAGGTTTAGAGGGCTGAATTGCCTGTCCATGTAACATGTAAACTGCATCAAAAATAAGAAATTGCAGCCTTTACTTTTCCTTGCTGGAGACTGTTACTCATTTTTATTGCTGTTTATTTAATCAAGAGAGGGATTTTTTGAAGCAGCTTTGCAATGCTCTCTCTTCTAAAACTTCCTGTGCTCTAAAGTTCTAGGGCTTCTGGCATTCTCAAAACTGAAACACAGGAAGTTTAAAAAAAAAAAAAAAGAAAGAAAAGAAAAGCAAAACCATAGAAGAAAACCCCTGTAGAACAGTTCTGCTTTCCTACAGACCAAGCATGTGGTGGAGGCCTGTTCAGATCACCACTTACTCCAGGGCCTCACATCCCTGAAAATGTGATTCTGCTTGTGACTGCCTGTGACTGGTTTTCCCCAACAATCCTCTTTTTTTCTCAGATTTCCCACTGCAGCTGCCATCAAAGGGTTTGTTAGAGTCTTTGGAGTAGATCGTGGTTTTGAGAAAATCTTAACATTTGTATTTGTCCTCTGCCCTCACAGACATAACCACTCATGTCAGCAGCTTGAAGGAGAGACTGATACCAATGGGTCTCATAAGGTGGCTGCTTTTTTTAAGTGTTAGCAGTGTCCACGAGGACACTGACCTCAGGCAATGCAGGGATGAGCAGATCTACCCCCGCTCACCTTGGCCAAGCAAGGGCCAGGACACAGAGCAGCTGGTAGAGGCTGGAGTGTGTCTGGGTTGCAACCTGCCATACCAGGGAAGGGCTGTCCCATGTCCCCAGGCCATGCTGGGGATGCCGGGGGTCTCAGTGCCCCAGGGCAGGGCTCTGCAGGGCCATGCTGGGGATCTCTTTCTCTAGAAATTATGTCAGGAGACACTTTCTGATTCAGCTGCTGCATCACACTAGATGTTGCCATTTGAAGTATGTGGGATTTAAATTCTTTGTCTATAATTATTTTTTCCCCCATTTGTTTCAGGCATGTTCAGAACATGAGTGAGATAAAGACTGATGTGGGGCGAGCCCGAGCCTGGATAAGGCTTTCTCTGGAGAAGAAGCTTTTGTCTCAGCACCTGAAGCAGCTGCTTTCCAACCAGGCACTTGCCAAGTAAGCTGGCTCTTTCTCTCAAATTTCACTTTGATGTCTTCCTCACTGGTGTGTCATGGAGCTGTACAGGCCTCTGCGGTTTCCAGCTCGAAATGACTGAAGGGCAGAGGGGAGCTGGGGGATGAGGTACTGCCTGCCCAGCAGCACAGAAGTCTGCTCCATCTGCCTGGAACAACAAATCCCAACTTTCAGGAAGGAGGTGTTGGGTTTGGGTCAGATCAGTGCTTTGATCCAAGCCACTTCACAGGCCTGCAATCACTGTATTTTGTGCAGATGAAGCAGCAGTGCTGTGTTATGTTGACTCAAGCCAAAACCATCCTGGCTGCAACAGGTGGAGTTAGAGGCCAGCCCCCCAGCCCCTTAGCAGCTGCTCCAGCTTTGCCTCCTTCTGGACAAACAGGCGCTTAAGGATCTACCTGTGTAGATGTTCCCTGGCTTGATTTTCTCAAAGCAATGCACTTAGGAAAAAAACCCCAAACTTTATGAAAACATCCCAGTTATTGTGTGCAGCTCTTAGCAGAACTGGCTCTGTTGTGTTACATGCACAATTATGCCAGAAGCTACAGAAAACATATGCTAATGGGAAGAAAGAGGAGTAGCTGGAGACAGTCACCTCTTGGGTGATCAGCTGAAGGCATGGTGGCAGACCCAGCTTCTCTTGAAGGTCCATCTATATCTACCTACCTTGACAACTTTTTGGGAGTCTGTGGTCTTTCAGACTGCAGTGTTAAAAGCTCAGTGCTTTCTCAGAGTGGGTTCAGGTTAACTCCTGGTGTGCCTTTTTACCACTTCGGGCAATTAGTGATAATAGAGTCATAGAATGGTTTAAGCTGGAAGGGACCTTAAAGATAACCTAGTTCCAACCCCCCTGCCATGGGGTTGCTCAGGGCCCCATCCAACCTGGTCTTGAACATTTCCAGGGATGGAGCTTCCATAACTTCCCTGGGCAACCTATTCCAGTGTCTCACCACCCTCACACTAAAGATTTTCTTCCTAATGTCTAACCTAATGTCCCCTCTACCAGTTTTGAATGTACACTGGGTTTGCCAAAATTAAAGAGTGGCAGGAGGACCTCTGCTGCTGCTCAGTGCCTTCCATGCTTTGATGCCTTCTGGTTAGTTTTCTAAGGAAGATTAGGTTATTAGATAAGGCTTATTCTGTTGTGGGAAGAAATGAGGTTGCTATATGTTGGTTCAGATCTGCTGTTGTGAGCAATGTTAGTTTATATCTCTCTTTGCAGCAAAACCAAAACTGATCCTTTAATGAGATGAACCTGTAGCCTTGCTATGGTAGCATGGAGCCAAGACTGGTCTGTAAAAGCTGGGTAGCACAGGGGGCATTTGCCCCCTACGGGTTTCTAGCAGCTTGTGTTAGCTGAGGAATCTCACTTTTCATACCTCCCATGAAGATCAGCTCTTCAGTTGGTGTTTTGAGATTACAGCATCCCCTAAGATATGCGGGGCTTTTTCAACAAGAAAGCGATGTGTTTGTTTCTACCAGGAAACTTTACAAGCGTTACGCTTTCCTGCGCTGTGAAGAAGAACGGGAACAGTTTCTGTATCACCTGCTCTCCCTGAATGCTGTGGATTACTTCTGCTTCACAAGCGTCTTCACCACAATCAGTGAGTTGGAGAATCAATTTTTTCCCCCTGAACAAAAATCAGTTGCTGTCATGATTTGTAAGTGATGATTTTGCTGTTGCTGGTGTCTGAGTAGCTGAGCCCTTATCTGGAAACCGTGGCTGTTGCTGTCAGGCTCACGGGTGCTGGGTGTTGCTCTGGGAAACCAGCTGGAGAGCCAAGGGTTGTGTGGGAGTGCTCTGGAGAAGAGCATTGCACAAAGGACAGTAATCAGCAGCAAGTGCTGCTGTTGCACTTGATTTCCCTTGCTGAGTTGTATAGTCTCTTTCATCTTCCCTCCCAGAGAAATCCTCTACTTCTTAATGTTTCCTTCTGGCCTTCAGTAAGTGTGCATCCTGACAGACTGCTCTCTGCAGACTGAGAAGGAGGTAGAAGTCTTGGAAGATGAAATACAAGGCACTTTGTGCTCTGCTCTGTATTTTAAATCTCTTTCTGTCTTTCCTTAAATGCCAAGATTATTCCCTCTCCCTCTCCTGTAAGAAGGAGAGCAGAGATTGGATTGAAATCTGAAAATTAATCTCCCTCTGCACTGGGCAATACAGAGAAGACAAGACCTATGAGATGACCTAATTATTTGGATTCACCTTGGCAGCCCTCAGTCTTCATTTCCTCCTGGTTCAGGGTGAAGTGAAGCAAGTTTTACATGGCTGTCAAAACAGGCACTCATTCTACTTTTCCTCCTCTTAAAGCAATAAATGCCCTCAGAACTAGCACAGCGCAAAGAGATTTATTCATCCTTGATTACCTTATTTCTGCAGGGCATCCAGCTTGACAGCTTTTCCCTGTAGGACAAGCACTTGGAATTTGAGGGTGGGGCTTTTTTTAAGTGCAATACCATTGTATGGTGCACAAAAAAGTAAAAAGCCTGGCTTGTCTTACCCAGTCAAAAAAGCAGCTTGGGAAACGTAAGGAGAGAGAGTCTGAAAGTGGTACTGTGTAGTGTCCGAGTGTGATCCAAATCAGGGTGCATGGTATTCCTTGTCTTAAGCACATATGGGTGGTACAGATTTAAAAGCATAATAACGACGTTGGGAGGGAGTTGGGGTGTTTTTGTGAGTGTGGTTTGTTTGTTTCTAATGAGAGAATGTCCACAGAGACACATCGGACTTGAGATTTTGGCTATGCTGTTACCAGCCATGCCAGTACCTCTGACATTCTCTTCTCCCCTGTAACCTCTCATGTGCCCCTGCTAGGCCAGGCCAACCATACAAGGTTCAGCAAGGCCAAGTGTCAGGTCCTGCACTTGGGTTGCAACAACCCCATGCAACTCTGCAGGCTTGGGGCTGGAAAGCTGGAAAGCTGCCCAGAGGAAAAGGACCTGGGGGTGTTGATTGACACGTGGTTGAATATAAGCCAGCAGTGTGCTCAGGTGGCCAAGAGGGCTAACAGCATCCTGGCCTGTGTCAGAAACAGTGTGGCCAGCACGACTGGGGAAGTGATTGTCACCCCGTGCTTGGCATTGGTGAGGCCACAGCTTGAATACTGTGTTCAGTTTTGGGCCCCTCACCACTACACAGAGGAGACCTTATTGCTCTCTATAGCTACCTGAGAGGAGGTGGTAGGGAGGTGGGTGTTGGCCTCCCAAGTTGCAAGTGATAGGACAAGAGGAAATGGCCTTAAGTTGTGCCAGGGAAGGTTCAGATTGGATATGAGGAAAAAAATCTTCCCTGCAAGGGCTGTCAGGCTCTGGAACTGGCTGCCCAGGTGAAGCCACCATCCCTGGAGATACTGAGAAGACACGTGGATGCGATCCGTAGGGACGTGGTTTAGCGGTGGACGTGGCAGCGCTGGGTTATCAGTGGGACTTGATTGGGTCTGATTCCGTGACCGTCTCCTCAGCCTGCCAGGCCGGGAATTGCCTTGCGGCAGGCGCAGCGTCTTACCCCTCTCGGGCGGGCTCCGGAGCCGGCCCTGCTCGGCCGCCCGGCGCTGCGGCAAAGCGGGCGGTTCTGCCGCGGGGCTGCAGCACCACCGTGCGGCCCC